GACAGATTAGTATGTTCAGCTTAATTTTTTTTAATAAGGATATACATGGCAAATGTCTAAGAAACAAAAATATTAATATACTATAACACCGCTTAACCCTGTTCAAAAGTAGTAATTCTGATAATTAAGACGTCTATTATTATCATTGTTCAACCTACTTGACGCATTTTGTGTCACTAGAATTTTTACTGACGTATTTTTTTAGTACTAAATCAATAATAATTCATTCCCAGCGTTTAATTGGAGAACGCTTAATCATAAAATTGTTAGAAACCACGGAGCAGGCAAAGAAATGAAAAGGGACCCGATAAAAAAATAATGGCGATTTATAGGGCTGGATGTTCCTGTTGGTCAAGATACAGGCTGTAGCAATTACGAAATCGCGAACAAATATAATTCCAACGAGCAGCTAAACCTACCAACAGAAATGCTTATACGCCTGGAAATATATAAACGTTACTTGAAGCTGTCTAGCGGGATTATCTCTTCCATATTCATATGCGAACGTTTTGTTTGTAGATGAGACTACATGTCATCATGAAAGTGGGTGAACTACTTAGTTCTTGGTCGGAAATTGGGAAAGTGTACGTGATGAAGAAGCATTTTCTACAAATGAAATTTCCTCAATAATTTTGGCCTTAAAAAATCATAGAATTTTTGATCTCATCATTAGTTGCATGTTAAATCTACCTTACACCTAAGAAATATTGAATCCTACTGATCCCAAAATCATAGAAAATGAGTTTAAATTATATGCATTCCAAAGACGATGTACCTGCCCCTGGCCCCACCTATTGAAATCCGTCTAACAGCCTCGTGATTGCCCAAAAAGAAACTAAAGCTTTAAAAAAATGGACAAAAATGAGTATGTATTTATATTACTCAGACCTAACTACACCTAACCTTACTTCAATGTAACATTTGAAACTTATCATGAGGTATAAGATAAATATATGATCACCAGAGTTGTCAATTTTTTTTGGAAAAGGTTATCATGGTGACCAAATCGTTGTCCTCAGTAAACAGTATTTCAAGCATATGATTCATCACCAACTATAACCGGTCGTGCTCGGTTTTTATTTTTTTCATTTCAACCGACGCGGCTTGTAACAGCTATCAAATGATGATGTCATGAACTGGCCCTTCGTGACATCACTGTTACTAACAGTGAGGACCAATAACAACCCTGAACAGGTGGTGGTATCTATGCGGTTTTGAGCGTTAAATGCCAACATATGAATATAACATGACCCATTCCTACTCCTTTGTGCCTTTTGTGTTTGTTCTGTGTAAAAAAACGATATAAGATGAAAACATTCGAGAGATTACTGAGTTTCTATAGAGTGGTGCATTGTTTCTTCAGAATTCAAATTGTTAATATCACTGTATTTACGTATATTTAAATTATATTTATAATCGTTGAAATTGGACCACAAAACAGTTCAAATGTAGCGACCCTGACCGAAGCATAACCGCTGCTCATCACGGTTCATCTCTTAAAATTGCCAAATATAGACCCTAGACATAGAGGGTGTTCATTTGAAGACGTCCCACCACGGATTTATCGAAAACCACTGATTAAAAGGGGGACAACTGTTCCACCAGAAACTACTTCACCCCTTTCACCCTCAGCTCCCCAGGGTCATCCACTTAAAAATTTTAAATTATATTGATTTTTTTAAGCGATCTATTCGTTTTCAAGAAAATTAGAAACATCTTTGTTTATCTCAATTTGTTCAGATAGAACACAAAGACACCCAAACATATCGCTTTTTATTTCAATAAGTGTTCGAAATGTTGGCCGTTATTGACGAAGCAATGATATAGGTAATGTTCAAATTCCTGACGGACATTTTCAGAAACATGTTGTGGGATATCATGGCAGCTTTTACTGATACATTGACGAGACTTTTGGGCTGGGAGTAAGCACAATAGATTTCAGATGACCCCAGAGAAAAAAGTCTAATGGCACCAGATCGGGAGACCTAGCAGGCCATTCTATAGGTCTACTTCGCCCTATCCATTAATTTGGAAACTCGTCGTCTAGCCGAAGTGAAACCGAACCGGAAGAACATAGTGAGGAGCAGCGTCGTCCACTGCACATATATTTCAGCCTCATCAAGTATACGGTTTCCATACACTTTGATTTGGTTTTCAACGGTTTCAGTGATGATCGGATCCATGGTATTTTCCAACATATCCAAATAAATGTCTCCATTCAAATTTCCGTTACTAAACAATGGCCCAATCACTCTATTTCCTAAACTGCCTACCCATACATTAATTTTTTGGGGGTACTTCTACAAAAGCATGAGAGTTTTCATTGCTCCAATACCTACAGTTATGGTTATTAACAGGTCCATTAAGATGAAATGTGCATTCATCACAGAAGCAGATATTCTTTACATGAATGGTATTATTATTAATCTCTGCAGTCATTCGTTCACAAAACTCAACTCGCCTGTCAAAATCATCTTGCAATATTTTCATTTCGAATGGACGACATTTATGGAGCTTGGTAATTGTGTGTACAGAGCCTAATGAAATGCCAGTCGCAGCAACAATTTTGCGTAACGAAGTATTAGGATTTACTCCAACATGACCCGAAACTTCAACTTGAGTGGCTTCATCCAAAACTCTCCGATGATCATTTGTAACATATCTAGTTTGAGTAAATTTAGTAACAAGGTACAAAACATACATATTATACGAAGTTATCTTCAGCGGATGTCTGGCATTAAACGTTACGGCAGTTTGCCGAGAACATCGATTTTGAGCACACCAAATTAGAATCATTTTCACTATCCCATGATTGTCTCAAGGGTAATTGACAGTAAATTAAATTCCTTCTTTACTTTAGCAACAAATAACTAAACAGGTATAGCAATAAATACAGTTCGCCCAGGATATCTGTGTTGATGAAAAGAATGCAGAAAACATTCGGGTTGTTATTTGGTTGTTGCCACGTATAATCTTCCGAATTGCTGTTTATGTTGGTAGTTTCCGTTTTAAATTATAAACAAACTGTAGATTCGGAAAACCCTAATGGGCAATATTTTGAACACTTATTGAAATAAAAAATGATATTTACCCGTGTTTTTGTTTTCTATCTGAACAAATCAAGATAAACAAGGACTTTTCTAATTTTCTTGAAAACAAGTCGACCGATTATAAAAAATCAAACGTCAAAATAAGGGGACTCGAAAGACCTTTTAAAGAAGCTATTACTCGGTACTCCTTGCTGTTTAAAATTTTTAAGAGGATGACTCTGGGGGGCAGAGGTCAAAGGGGATGAAGTAGTTTTTGGTTAGAAAGTTGTCCCCCTTGACAGATCTTTTGACGTGACTCGGCGTTTTTTATTGTAATCAGTGGTTGAATACTTAGCGCGTTCAGATAACGAGGTCCAGCGTTGCAACACTTTCAAGCTGAATAGCAGTAACTATCTGATAACCTTGTCATTTCGACAGCAGTTTCCATCCGACTGTTAGATGTGAGAGCTGGTTGATTATATGTCACAGCTACTGCTATTCCGCTTAAGTTGGCTGAACGCACGCTTTGATCTCTGTCCATAGTAAGCAGAATCAGTAGAATATCACCTCATAAACCACGTAGAAGGCATTGCGGACAGATTTTCAATAAAGTACCCTGGCATAAATTACCATCCCAAGCTTTGAAAATAAGGCAATGCATAGATCAAAGTTATTGATGGTGGCCTACCACTTTCCACAGCCCGCCCAGTTCACCCTTTAAATTCATTCTAGCCTGAGCTCGTTCTATCTACCCCAGAATTTGCATGTGGGTGTGTATCAGGGAAAGTCGTAAACTTAAACAGAGCGACCCATTTTAACTTGACATAGAACATAATTAAAAGTGAAGAGACCGTTTGATGCCGAAAAGTAGGTTACCTGGAAAGATTTGATTTCATTTCATTATAGGCACTAAATTCACTGCGTGCTTACACACGTCAAAGTATAAGTTAAATTACAAAAATTTAAAGTCACAAAACAACAAAATTTGTTGGAAATAACAACATTAACAGAAAATGTAAAAAAAGCATTGACAGAAAAAACGTAACATGACACCTATTATTATAATTAACAAACATAGTTAAAGTAAACAAATAAGCACATTACAATACCATTACAAGATATTCGAAAAATTATTATTTACATATCCTTTGATGGTATAAAAAGCTTTATTGGTATGGTAAGCTTTAACTCTATACTTAAATGAGTCGGGGTAAGACACTAGGAGTGTCCCGGAAAGAACGTTATAAAAGTGGATAGTAGTTAGAACCGTTTCTAGCTCTTTCTAGATGATGATTAGGAATATCCAACTTATGAATCTCACGTGTATTGTAAATATGTTCATCACTATGCGTTTTGTCTGGTTCCAGATTGTTTTGTAGAAATCATAAGCAGATAAATAGATATAGATGGAAGAGTAAAGATCCTTAGGTTGATGAATGCCTCTCTGCATGGCTGCATACTCGTATAACTCATACCTGCGATGACTGATGCAGCGTTTTTGTAGTGACCTCAGCTCAAGAGTGGAAGTATCCATAATATGTCCAGAAACACATCTCTTCAGATTCCGAATTATAAGAATAGAAATATTGTTTACAGGTTCCTCGCAAGTCATGTGAGTATCAATACTGACACCCAAAAATTTCTCTGTGTCTATGGTATTGACGTTAAGGTGGCACAAGCTTATAACCACGGACTGTGCCTTCAAATCATTAAGTGTCAGTTTATTTGATGAAACGAATTTTCAAAATTTTTTGTATATTCAATATTCACAGAATTAAGTAGAGCTGAGTTATCGGTAAACAGCTTAAGGTTTTTGTTTGTATTACAATTCGGAAGGTCATTTGCGTATATTAAAAATAACAGTGTTCCCAGCATAGAAACCTGTGGATCGCTATATGAAAAAGTCATTGTGGAGGTAGTGTTAAAAAGCCACGGATTCCAAATGCCGATTTACGAATACTAAAACTACAAGCCTCTGTAGCTCAGTGACAGAGCACTGGTCTTGTAATCTAGGGGTTGTGTTGTTCAATCCTCAGATTGTGGCATACCTTTTTCTTTTAATTTGTTAAACACGCTTCTATTAGCTTGGCCTGTATGTATTTATGTATGTATCCATGTATCGGAATCTTTGAGCATAATTTTCACACGTATCAAGGGCCGATGACAATGCAATAATTTGATAACAGTTTTTCACTATCCTTATGGACCGCCAGGACTGATAAATTCTTTTATAGGTCCTCTGCAGAGAGTAACAGAGATAGAGTTTTGGACTTACTCTACCAATAGAATGATTATAACATTTAATATATCAAGCACCCCACGCTTTTTACTCTAAATTGAATTATGCTGTTAATAACTTAAATTTTATTATAATTTTGTTTTGAGGTCATTAATTATATATATTATCTACTACTGTAATATAAACTCTTTGTTACTAACAATTATTTTCTACTTTTTAGTTCCGTTAGCTATAAAAGTTTTTTTGTTTTTTAAGCTATTATTTATTCATTTATTCATCAATAGGCCTAAGGCCTAAACCCACACACACATGGGCTGCAGTCTGTGAGATGACCAACGTTTAATGTCACTAATATGGAGCTTGCAATGTGACAATTTTTGTAGCAGAATGTCGGATTGGACACAATCAAATGCCTTAGTAAGATCAATTTTTTTTTCGATTTGTCTTCTGAGGCTTCACTTCACTACCTCGTATTTCGTCTGCTCCATTTGTCATATTGGAAAGAGCTTGCTGACAAAATATCCTTTTACTTCCTAAGCCAATGACGATGAAGTGTTGTAGCCACGAACAATTTCGAAAATGCGATATTATGCTTTTTTGATGCACTCATTTGCCTGTCTGTCCGCAAATCCTTGGCCCAGATGAAACTTTCAAACAAGGGCAGTACAACGCCAAAGACGAAAAATCTTCGAATGTTTTGGAAATGGGTCCGGTGGCAGCTCAGAATTAGGCCAAAATGAGACAAAAATCGCTTAAACTCCGTTTTTGTGGCGGCGCAGTTAGGGGCCAAACTTCACTTTTGACATTCCAAGAGCTGCCAATGATTTTCGCTGCCTGAGGGTGGTGGAAGATACATCACAATCTTTTTACCAACCACGATAATTCTACACACGTATTGGGCATATTTCACCCTACATAGATATCCTCCGATATTTGCCTTTGAAACTTGGATGATAGAGAAACATGTTAAACAGGCGTCCTATACAACTCTCAACGAACGTGCAAATATCAGCTTCAAGTTCTGATCTATGTCTCAATAGTGTCCTAATTGATAAGAATGGCGTCTGGTCAGGTTAGTCATAGCCTAATGGTCGATACTGTCGCTAGGATAGGTAAGAAAGTTCTAGATCGCAACTTGTTAATTGGGTCTAATTGATGGACTTGATTCATTCAATTTTGTTGTTAAATATATTTACATGATCTATCGTACTTCTTAGTGGCGAAGATTAATCGGCAGAGTTGGGTAGGAAGTGCAGTCAACCTACTAGACGCTATTTTTTAACTCAAAGTTGATACCAAGTTAGAATATAAGCTTCGGAAATATTCGATTAAGAACAACTAATCAACTCAATGCTAGAAGTCCGGTAGATTGACGCTGAACTTTCCATTATATCTTACGGTAAATATACTGCGTTAGATATTTCTTTGCAGAGGCCAATATTGAACCCCCTTTCCCCGTGTACCAGACAATTTTTTGCTACGCATGCAGAGCCTAGCCATATTTTATCCCATTTCTTATTTATTCCATCTCCCCTTATATGTACGATTCCTTGCGTTATATATTTTTGATTTTATCGGCTCGTATATAAAATACGACTAAAATGGACTGGATATGGTTATTTTCAGTCGGGAGGAGTGGGAAATGACAACCGTTGAAAAATATATCCAGAGCAGTTCTACATCCCGGCAAAACCGGATTAGCCTAAGTTCGACTCCTTTTTAATATTACTTTCATATTTGAAAAGTGCAAATTGTGGAATTTTCGATTCCGAAAGATGGTATGCAGGTAAGAAGATTTTACTGTTAAAGAAAAGAATGTTGTCCTGTCTTGCAAAAAAGAACATATATCGGACAAACAATACTGGTTTAATCATCCAAAGCATCCAATACTGTCAGTCGCAAGTTGCTTTTGCCAGTACTGGAGGGCATATTCATTATAGGTAAATATCTAAAGCTTCTTGAGAGATACCTATCTAACCGTACTCAGCTTGTAAGACTAGACAATCAAGTGTGCGGCCTAAGGGCGACTAAGTATGGAGTACTCCAAGGTACCGTCCTAGGGCTTATACTTATATCAAAGTAGGAAAAACATATGTGGATTCGCAGACGACACCGCTGTAATTATAAAGAAGACACTTGGCAGGATCTAAATACATCGTCAGGACTGTCCTATCAACTGTAATCTGGGAAGAAACGTGTTATATCCTTTTCATTCGCAATAAAACTACTAATCCAGTGATATAAATATCAGTATGAACAAGATGCAACATTAAATAGCACAAGAAAAAAAATATCTGACATCTGATTCGTGATCTCCGCACCCAAATTTACTCAAGTTACGATTTTCAGAAGAAATTGAAGATGAAATGCATTTGTGAGAACTTTTGTCAGCAGTATGGATTTAATCATATCATATGGACGCATGTAAAAGGAAACGACTATGAGTCTGTATAATCTATGTCTGTAGAGGAACAATAATAATGATGATAATAATAATAATAGCATTAATTGTCCAAGCAAACTAATAATCTACGATAAAGTTTGGAAGGAAATTAATCAATTTAAGTACTGGTAAGCCATTTCAATTACTACACTAGGAAAGGGTATAAATATATCGCAATGATAGCTAACTCTTGCTCTAGATGGTTTAAAAGTGACATCATTGTGCGATGAAAACGGAGGTACATCAATATTAATTTGCGCTGGAATTTCTGGAGAATCGATCAAGCGACGTAATACACACATCATCAGAAGTGTTGGACCCCCTGGCGTATTGGGACACTATAGCCTTCTAGTTTCAATCTTTGATATATTTTAAATTGGGGATATTTTTACTATATTTATTTAACAAAACGTTAAATTAATTTCATTAATATGAAAAGAAAGTTGAATAAGTAAGGTACCAAAAATTTTATTTTTAAAAATCAAAATTAAAGAAAAATAATTATTCTAAAGAAAAATAGAACATAATTAATAACCAGTTCGGTGTCCTCTAGATCCTAGCAGTCCGTTAACACGCATGAGCATTCCTATTATTCGGTGGTTAATGTTTTATTGGGGTAAATTATTCCACTATTCATTTACTGCTGCAGCCAGCTCATTTAGGGTTGTAGGTGGATTTATTCTGATCCGTACGGCTCGAGCTAAAGTGTCCCAAATGTTTGCAATGGGGTTCATGTCTGAGCTGTTCGCAGGCCACGACAGTCTCACTATTTGGCCCCTTTCTAGAGCCCGTTGGACCCTTCTCGCTCTATGTGGCCTTGCATTATCATCCATAAAAATGAAGTTGTTACCGAATTCATTTCGCAAAGGTTGAATAATGAGTTGTATGACATTTTCTTCATACATTTCTGCAGTCATTTCCCCCTGGATCAGAATTAAAGGACTCCGGTGGTTAAACATTATGCCTCTCCAAAACATTATTGATCCGACCTGATATAGAACAACTTCTCGGGCCAAATTTAGTCGCTGTTGATGTCCTAGTTCTCTCCAAACCCTTATTCTACGGTCATCACTCACCAGTCCAAACCTAACCTCATCTGTAAATACCACATTTCGCCACTGTGGTAAAAGCCACTCCTGCTGTTCTCTAGCCCACTGGAGAAGAGCAGCAATTTGTCTACGAGTAAGACGTTGAACCCTTAAAGGTCCTCCAGGGCGCAAATTTGCCATACGCAATCTTCTTCTGATGGTAGAAGTGGAAATAACTCTTCGAAAGGTATGTTGAATATGCGATCTGATAGCTGTACTTGTTGAAAATCTATCCCTTCGGGCAAATAGAGCAATGTAACGATTCTCCCTATCATCGGTTACTCGAGGACGCCCACTGCGTGGCCGATTTTCAACTGAGCCAGCTTCTTGGAATATTTGAATTGTTCGAATAACCGAACTTCTTGAGATACCCAAATCCAGTGCTATTCGGTGATTTGAAAATCCAGCTCGGAAGAGGGCTACTACTCGTGTTCTATCAAAACCAGAAATTTCAGCTCGAGGCATTTTACACGTTACAGTATAAAATTTTATTTTAATACTTTTTGCTCAAACACTACCGGTAAAATTCTATAAAAATCCAAACACATTTTTATCTCAGCGGTTTTTTGCATTTTTTACTTGCTAAATATATAAAGATTTTTTGTTCACAAACAGAATATAGATAACGTACCTCTAGACGGATTTATACAGGGGGTCCAACACTTTTGATGATGTGTGCAATGTGGAAAGAAATATTTCTGTTGATACATCTCTTCTGAACTCTAAGCTTAGAATTTCAAAATGACCACTCGGCTCTGCATTGCTATCTCCTTGCTCATAATAAACTCTCGCAGACATCATATAAGGAACACACCTTTTCAATTTCGTTTTTATAAATTTGGTAATACTCGCATATTCAAGTTTGCTACGCTCATATACAAAATATAATACCGACAAAACACATGTTGTGAAACTGCCTACAATTCCCGACAATCAAACAGTATGACTTAAGCGCTTCTGAAACTCTTTGAGAAGTATGGGGAGCAAATGTCAATCTTTAGTCATAAAGAACACCCAAATCTCTGATTGTATTACATCTATCCAACAACACACGATCAATACTATAGTTGAAAACATGAAGGGCTTTTTCCTACTATAACTAGTTAGTTACTATAACACTTGTTGGTATTTAGATGTAAATTGTTGACATCGCTTCAAATCCTAATACCATTTAACTCCATTTGTAAATCCAAACAATCATAAATACCCTTTACAAACGAATATATTTTCATGTCGTCAGCAAAACATAATTCTAGATATTTCAAATTTCCACAGAGGTCATTACTAAACAGTCGAAATAAAAGAGGTCTCAAGTTAGACCCCTGTGGAACACCGGATGGTCCTGAACTTCGGAATTGAACCCGTTGTATGATACATACTGATTCCGCCCTGATAAATAGGATCTTAGGAACTGTGTACTTCTAATCCAAAGTGTCCCAATTTCTTTAACAAACGGAAACATGGGTGACACATAGTCCAGATCCACTGGGTATTACTACCTCATTTGCTTATCTATTATTACAGTCATAACTAAAATTTTACTAGACGGTCGGAGGCGAAAATTGATTCAATGGAACAGTGCTTACTGGCAATGGCATAGAATGGCAACAGCAGTTCTCGAACAACAATAATGGAAGTGTGGTAATATTGATTACCCCCTTTGAAAGAATTTGACGCTGAAATTTAATTAATAGCACATTAGCTAGAACCAGTTTAGCCGGGACTCGTGCCAAATAATTCACATATAAATAAAATTTAATTCGACTCTAAGTATAATTACATGAGAGGCTTTCATCAAAATATATTTAAATTTTAGTTAAAATGGGAAACGCTACATGTAATTACTGTGACATGCTTTGCTTCTCACAGTCGGACAGTAATTTAAATTGGAAAATTTTTATCCATTTCGTTCCGACGAACGATAGTAGTCAAGGCATACTAGTTTTGTACAAATCCCAATCAATAAAGCGGACCATTATCAACAAATATGAGACGATGCAACGAGAAGGTAACTATTCGGATGGTTTTCAAAGACACGCGTCAGCGAAGAAGCGTCTTAGGGGCTTGCGTATCGGCTAAGCAAATGAGCTGTCACCTGGAATAGTTGGTTTTATTTAATGGCCAGAAAATATGGAGGACAAACGACATTTTTTGAGTAGTTGGGGAGGGACTATTTAATGGCTTTTATTGAAAACCGCAATGATCTAGTTACCTCGGTTATTGGGATAGATTTTTCTTTTACGTTCTTATGTTGAATCATCTGAAATTACACATATAGTAATGGTCAAAAGTATATAGACAAATATGAATATTTACCTAAATACCTTTAGAAAACGAATTCATACTTCATTGCTCCATAAACAAATGCGTTATTAGTAGAAAAACTAAGTTCCTTGTTTTTGCATTATCTTCAATGATCACAACACAAGTCTAAACATAAGCACTTTTTTATGAGGGACAAAAATATGGAGACAAATTCTTTCCAAGATTAGTTTAGTACAGTTTCGTGTCAGAAGAGGATTAGTTTGTGTTCATCAAGTATCGTGGAATAAGTTGAGTGATTTGATTAATTCTTGTTTGGAACTTCACTATTTTCCCTCTGCATGGAAGCAAGCAGTAATTGTTCCCTTGGCAAAAACTAATAACCCTTCAGCTTATTCCGACCTGCGCCCAATAAGTTTACTTCCGATTCTATCAAAAATATTGGAAAGGATAGTACATGATCAATTGAAAGAGTACTGCTCTGAGAATAACATAATTCCAGTCTGGCTTCAAAGTAGGGAATAGCACCACCACTGCCCTGCTTCAGGTGACTGATGATATTATTGAGGCTTTGGATCGGGGTCAAGCAGCGGCTCTTGTACTGCTTGACTTCTCCAGGGCTTTTGACACTACGTATATATTGGATTTTCTCACACATCTATCAAGTTCATTACTAGTTATCTCATGAATCGTATGCAAAGGGTACATTTGGACAAAACATATTCCACATATAAGAATGTGATATCAGGGGTCCCTCAAGGCTCTGTTTTAGGACCGCTACTGTTCTCCATTTACATATCAGACATGGGTAAACTGATACGCTCCTCTGAAGTGATGATTTTTGCGGATGATACACAAATATGTAAAAATTTTGATCCAGATGACTGTGTAGCAGCTGTTGACGAGTTGAATTGTGACTTAGTCACTATTGTTAGTTTTTCCAAGCATAGCTTCTTAACGCTTCAACTGATTCAAAATTCATGCTGTCGCCTCATCTACGTTTTAAGAAAATATGACCATGTTTCACACTGTATTCGTAGTTTAAAATGGTTAGATATCAATAGTTCTTACGAGTATTTTATCTTGAAGTTGATTCATAATTTGATTATCACGGGAACTCCCGAATACCTCTTCAAAAAAATTGTTTTCAGGCAATCTGTAGAGATCGCATGCTCAGGTATGGCAAATTATTAGATATTCCACGGCACCGTACGGCTTTATTTACTCGCTCTTTTAGGTATAATTGTGTCAAATTGTATAACGTGCTACCCGATGCATTCAAAAATTTATCTCAAACTAAATTTCAAGTTTGTGTCAAGCAGCATTTGCTATCAAAAATGACTCTTAGTAGTAATTAAGTAGTAGTTTGTAGTTTAGATTAGTAACCGCCAGAAAAAAAATTGATTTGACGTGTTGCTGAATCTGTTATATACTAAGTGACATATAAATCCGAACACCCAGTTTAAATGGTTTTATTTTAATAAAAGTTGGTGAATGTATTTATCTTACTGTAAATAACAAGTGAAAAAATTTTCAGCCTTATCAGTTGGACATTCCGGTTTTTATACTGCTTTTTTTTAATTCACTAACGCTCTAAAAATGAATATTTCAGCCGCAGTAAAGAATCAACGTTGGCGGATTTTGGTTCTTGACATCCTTTACGATCGGTTACGATGCCTAGAGTACGGAGACCTGTACGATTTCGTCAACTTAGTGAGTTTGATAGGGGCCGTATAGTGGGACTTCGGGAAGCTGGACTTTCTTTTCGGGCAATTGCAGTTAGAGTGCAAAGAAGTGTACAGTATATTCAGATAAGAGATAGACCGGACATAAACAAGTCCACGTGATCATCGAACGCTGTAACATTCGGCAGGGACGTATTAAGGGTCACGCAGTACATATTTTAGATAGTAGATGCTGATTTGCGTAACTTTGTAGTAAATTAGCACAATTCGATGTGTATACGATTGGTGATGGATATAGGATCATGTGGGGGTGGGGTAAGAAATATATAATGATGTAAATATACATAAGGGTTTCAAAATTTTCGCTTTGATTTCCAGCTTCGGATGCCGCCTGATGTTTGGTGAAATACAGTCGAATATAATCTCAAAATGGCGTTTAAATTAGCCTAAATTAAAAATAATCGTATATCTCTTAAAATTGCTTTTAGAATATTGATTAGTATATTTTTTGATTTCTAGGTAAATATGTAACCAAATTAAAACGTTCAAAACGTAAAAAAATGTGCATGGTTGAACATTGTCAGAAAGTAGATTCTTGAATAGGTTTTGCCAAAATGGGTTCAAAAATGTCAATAATTAATTAAAAAATACAGTAGCTTTATAATTACTTATAACTTACCGAATTTGATGAACGACATCTTTTATTGGAAAGATGAGCTTGATGAGCTTTCATCATCGCTACTGCCTGAAGCACCAACGTCAATAATGAATGGCTCGACTTGTTCCTCTAAAATATTGTCCAGTTTCCACATTCTCTTTTCAACTTTGTCTTTCACGTGCTTAATACAGTTTTCCCATTTTTGCGTTGTTATTAATTCTAGTGCTTCTTTGAAAAGTCCTTTGAGGTCACAAAATTTAAAAGTTGTATTGTGCTTAGCTATATAATTTTTAACCTCTGCCCATATGAGCTCAATGGGATTGAGCTCGCAATGGTAAACGGAGCACAGTTTTATTTTGACTTGCTGCCATTTCGTCAATGGCGTATTTTTGATATTCCGCCTTGTGATCCTTGACAATTCTTAATAATTGTACTTTCAGCATTGCTTCTTCAAAGTTGATATTTTTCGAGCGGAGCCAATTTTGAACATCAACTTTCCTTGAAGCCGTTGTTGGGACCTTCTCCATTCTTCGAGAATGATAAGGCGCATTATCCAACACAATTACTGCGTTTTCCTTTAAGTTCGGTAAAATTTTTGAAAACCACTGTTCAAACGATTCGCCATTCATTTCCTCGTGGTAATCTCCAGTTTTCTTAGACTCAAAGCACCACAGACCGTCAACAACAAATCCATCCTCACTGCCAATATGGCAGATAATGAGCCTTTTCCCTTTACCTGGAAATCGAAGTACTAACTGGTGTAGATTTATTTCAATAAGCGAACCTTTTTCAAATGTTTTCATCACATTCAGCGAAAAAACATTGAGACATGAGTATCAGATTGCTATAATTGAGATTAT